GTGTTGTCCAAACTTGGCCACTTTAAGATGAGTGGACTTCAACTCCCACAATTCCCCCGCCAGCATGGGAAATCTGGGAGTTGAAGTCCACTCATCTTAAAGTGGCCAAGTTTGGACAACACTGATCTAGAGGCTTACTTGCTTAGGTGCCATCAAGTTGTTCTAGGCTCTTAGAGGCGCACAGAGAGATTCCCTCCATGATGACCTGTCCCCACCCTGCTCCTTCAGCTCTTCCGAGGGTGCCCCCATCGCCCCTGTCATGGAGCCCACCCACTGGCTGGTGGCCGTCCTCTTCTCTTTCCTTCCGCCTCTCCCAGCACCAGAGCCGCCTCCAGAGAGCGCATCGTGTGGCTGAAGTCGGACAATTTGAGCCTCATCACTCGTGCCTCTAGTGAGAACTCTGGGCTGATTTGTTCGATGGTCCATCGGTTTGTTTCTGTCCAGGTGGCTTTCTGGGTGAAGACACAGGCGTGGCTCACCGTGGCCTTCCCTGCGCAGCATGAACGGTGCCTTTGCTGTTGCCCCTAAAGTGATCGTCGCCTCCGGCCTCTTCCTCTGCCCAGTGGAGGCGCCTGCTGGCTTTAGCCGGGGTGACCGTTGCGCCTTGGGCGGCCCTGCCGCATCGTGTTCTCGTGGCACCCCTCTCGGGACGCCTCCTCCCCCCGTGATTAGGCAGCAAGGCAGGATTTGGGGCGGGGGAGTGGAGGAAGGCAGAGGCATGCACGGACCAAACTGTCTTGCTTCTGGCTTTGTTGGCAGGGAGAAGGATGCCCGTAACCGTTCCGAAATGAAAAGTGAAGCAGATATTAGGAAAACAAAGCATTCAGCTGGAGGGCTAGAAACAGCCGATATTCCAAGACCCTGGGGTTTGGCTTTGGGGTGGAATTCCTCTAAGTTTTTTTGTAATGTCCACATATGTTGGTTCCCCCCTCTCCAAAAAAACCCCTGATACCTCACTCTGGTGCAAGTAATTTGCTTTTGTCGTGCAGCTTTTAAATGTCTGGTGCCCCTTGACCAGAAAACATCTCAGGAAATATTGCTGCTTTATTTCCCTGCATCGGAAGAGCCCTTGAGGTCATCCAGCTGAGCCTCCTGCTCCGAGCAGGGATCCAGCAGGAGGCCCAGCCGCTCTCCGGATCCGCGTTCCGATCTCCGCCTGCTTTTGTTTTATTCTCCGTTCATGCTCTGTATTATTTTAGAAATAGCTCGTTCGTGGTTTAAAGCAAAACTGGTAGGGTTACGCATTGAATCCGCTAGACCTGTGGCCCTGGAGGGGAGACAGATAACAGAAACCAGACAACGGTTCTTCCTTAGTGCGGGTGAATGGGATGGTGTGAAAGGCGGAAGGCTAGCAATTATGGGTCGGGCGGCGCCTTATGGCTGCAAATCGTGTCTTGTGGGCACAGCTGTGGTGGAGGAAAGGCCTCTGTGGCTGGCGAGATTCGTGCAGGGCTTTATATCCACGGGGTGGGAGGAAGGGGGTCGAGTTTTCACTGACTCTATTTCAGGAAACACAGTTTTGGGGGAACCTTGAAAGGTCATCTAGTCCAACCTTTGCCAACTGTCTGGGGTTGCAGTTCCCAGAATGCCCCAGGGAACTGGCTGGGGGTTATGCGGGCAAAGGCCGGTCCACCTGCGGGTGCCAGTTTGCGAAAGGCTGGATTAGCCCGTCGCGTAAAGCAGCCAACCACGGAGTCATCCCGTAAGCATTTATTTATGACTTCTTCTTTTCTGTCCCTCTCCCTCTCTGCGGGTGGCTCTCCACCCACTTGGAAGCGGGTGACCCTGACCCGCCTCTTTGCTTTCTCGTTCCAGGCGAAACTTGGCAGCACGTTCGAAGCTCCTCCGTGCCCACGCGCTCTAAAGGCCTCGTTTCCTTGTCACGCCAGGCTTGTGCCAGATGGCAACTCCCGCCACGGTGGCAGGATCCATCCCCACGGGGCCAGAGACGCCTCCCTTCTCAGAACTGACGGGCGTCTCGCTCGGTGACGTTTGGGTGGCCACCTCTTCGCCAAGGTGGGTGAACGCTTCGTCTCCTCTTCTTCGGGCTGGTGGGCAGCGCGGGGCCTTCGCTGCCGGCCCCCGGTGGACACTCATTTTTATGATGGAGTGTTTTGATGTTTGTTTCTATGGTGCGTCGCCCAGTCATGTTCTGTGAGATGGGTGGCTATATAAATGTGAGGAATAAATCAATAAATAAGGACATATGATGGCACAGGCAGAAAATGCACCACCTTAAAATAAAAGGATGTTCTTAGAAGCTGGATTGATCCATCGCATCAAGGCATTGCATGGCTGGATTAGATCTGATTTAGCATAAAGAGCAGAAAGACCTTAGTTTAATGGCCTGATTGGGGGGAGGGAAGGGAGCCTGTCCGTCATTCCCAAATGTCCATTAAATCTAAAAATTAGCAATTTGTGTCATTTTTGGCTACTTGAAGACTGATACTGTTATGCAAATGATGAAATGTTTGCATGGAATCTCTGTTGTTTTTATCATTTGGGGTGCAGCGTCATTATGCAATTGATGTAGGCCCCTGCAGGTTTTCTGAAATTAAGGTAAACTTGACCTAAATGTAAGTGCCTTCTCTAGATTACTTTACCGGTGGACATTATTTGGGAGGAAACGGCAGGATGGAATTTTATCCGCTGCATCTGAAACCCGCTAAGTGGAGATCTGGTAGAACAAGGTTTTACTGTATGGACCGCCCAGTGTGGCTTGTAGTTCAGTGGTGTATAGAAACCAGACCATCATGGCTTGTTCAACAAACCATGATTCAGCCCAGCAGATGAAACCAGCCTGAAAGGAAGTCTTCCTTCTTTCCTGAATGGGTAGCATTTTTCATCAGCGCCCCCCCCCACTTTGAACCCCAGTGTTCTCAGCTGTTCTCCAGGTGAGGGGGGATCTGCGTTCCCAGAATCCTTAGTTGGCAGGGTTGGGCTGGGGGCCCCGGTGCACGAGCGTGGACTTTGGGAACTGGGTGGGGAGTGGTCTTGACAGCCCTCTTTGGGGGCAGAAGCCAGATGCCAAGTTGCTGGCACGGCCAATCAAAAAGGCATCGTTTGCCCCCCCAGCTTAGCAGACAGGTGGGAAGCAGCCTGAGGGACGCTGTGTGGGACACAGGAAAGCTCTGGCTGCGCATGAGGTGCCCGCTTTCATTTCGGCAACGAAGGGCTGCTGTTCCCAGGGCTGGGCACTGCCACACGCTCCATGCCAGCTGCCACTTGTCCCCACAACTGAATTTTCTTCCAACAATGGGATGCGTTTCCACGACTGAACTGCCTTCGCAGAGATGCATCAGAGGAACTAGACTCCAGCATGAGGGACCAGGCGCACACGCGTGTGTGTGTGTGTTACTTTCTGCTTTCGCTCTGTCTGCTGGAATCGAGAGGTCTCCGACGTTGGTGCTGGCCTTGCAGGCTGTCCTCTGCTAGGGAGGGGGGCGATTCTGCCCCACCCAGCGTCCTCCGGGATGCCAGCTGTTTCTCCATCTCTCCCTGTTACCGTGCTTGCCAAGGACATGGGCCCAAGTGGGACTCGGAGGCATGGGAAGCAGGCCCAGGAATTGGGGCACGGCTGCCCCACAGCTGCACAAGTCCTAACAGGCTCGGTTTTGCTTCCTCAAAGAGAGTTCTCTGGTTTCAGCTCCTGAGAAGAAAACTGACTGGTTTTCTAATGACAGCTTGGGTATGGCAACCCAGGCGGCCAGCCCTGTGATGTGGGGGGATGGCTCTGAGGTGACTGTCTTGTGCCAACCCAGCTCTGTGGCTTGTGAATTACGGGGTGTAGCGGGGAGGGGCCGGGCTGGGCCAGGCTGGTGAGAGGCGGGGAGCCTGTCATGGGCACTGTTAGCCATGGCGGCCAGGGTGGGGCCAGCCCATCTCCCAAGGTCAGGCGGGGAAGGGGGCTTGGGGACCTCTGGGAGACCTTGCACACCCAGGGCCTTGCTGCATTGTGGCATATTTCACCAACCGTGCTTAAGCACAGAGAGGCTCCAAGCCACGGTCAAGATGCCCTTCAAAGCCAGCTGGTGAGGCCACGATTCTTTGCTAGAGAAGGCCCACCAGACCCTTTGCCTGGGATGTCTGGCACCCCCTCTGCCTCAGTTTCCCTTCGCTGTCCCGAACGGAAGCTGAGCCCTCTGGGAAGCGCCTCCCTCAAGGCCTTTCTTTGCATCCGCCTTCGGGAAGGACAACCCAGAAGTCTCATTCTAAGCTGGAGGTGTTGAAACTCTGGGCGCTTTTGTGGGGTGAAGTGGCCCCAGGGCAGCCTCTGGCAAAAGCCGTTTTGCAAGCGTGCCTGTGCTGGCAAGTGGGGAAGTGTTGGGCGAATAAAGCCCTTTTGTGTTAGGATTATGCACAACCGAGCCTTGTCAAGCTGGCTTGGAGGGAGGGAGCCGTTCATCCTCTGGACCAGAAGTGGTCCAGATAAAGCAGGAGCCTTTTTCCTAAGGCTCACTTGAAATCTACTGCTTCAAAATTTGAAGCCCGTACTTTTTGTCCTACCTCCTGGAGTGACGCCGAGCGGTTCTGCCCCGTCTTCTACACGAGAGCCCTTCTGATGCTTCCAGGCTACCTGAACCCCTCGGACTCTTCCTCCTAAGCCCATCCTCTTGGCTGTGCTCCCCGGACAGGCTCCGGGGTGTCCGTGTCCTCCTTGAAACAATGGTGATCTTGTCATCCAGTTCCTTTCTTCATGTCCTGCTGCCCGGTTTTGTCCCGCCCCTCCTGAATTTCTGCCTTTAATTTTTCCTACTCGGATGTAGCACTTTACATCAGTCCCTGTAGAATTTTGTCGTTCTGATGTGCCCACTTGTCAAGATCCTCCTGGATCCTGATTTCGCTCTCTAAGGACTTTCTTGCCCCTGGTATCCTGGTGCGGTCTGCAAATTTGACAGCTGTGCTTTCTAAACCCTCCTCTGATTTACTCCTCAGTCAGCCGAAGAGCACCGGGCCTGGAGCAGAGGCTTGCGACGAGCGGCTTGAGGTTTCCCTCCAGCTCAAGGCAGAGCCAGGGTGGAGAAGCAGCTTTCTTTCGGTCTAACCGTGGCATGTCCTGCCCACATTTTGCTATTTCCTCTGCCAGATTCTCAGATTTAGTTGGACGCTTTGCTGCCGTCGGGGTGTGCTGCACCCGCTGCATTTCCGTTGTTGCCTAAACCGGCCGTTTTATCAGAAATGGAGATCCCGTTGATTTGGCACGATTTAATCTTGATAATCCCCAGGTGGCTCCATTTGGGCCAAGCAAGGCGTCCGGTTCTAAATGCTCCCAAACCAGAGGCAGAATAATTTGCTCCAGCGTTTTGCCCAGTTTGGACATCAAACTGACCGGTCTGTAGTTCTCCGTCCTCCTTGGTCCCCATTTCTGAAGACGGGGAGAACATCTGAGGGGCCATTGGCCCTTCACCAGCCTTTGGGTCTGCTCTTGTCCTCTGTGGCTTCTCAGAGATCGTGCAAAGGGGTTCCAAGGTGGCACCCCGGGCTCCTTCAAGACTCTCAGCTGCAGCTGGTCTGATCCTGGAGATTTAAACTCACTGCTCAAGGAGCCCAAAGCAAAGACCGAACATCACCTCTTCAGAGCTTCCCAGCTTCTCTGTGCAGCAGGTCCAACTTTGGGCTTTTCTTCCTTTTTCTACCGACGTAGCCCCCCAAAAGCTCGCTCCTTCCAACTTCTCTTCTGGGCACCTAAGTTCCTTTTGTACTTTGGCCTCTTTGAAGTTCTTCCTATAGATACAAACTACTTGCTGACATGCTTCCTTTGTTATTCCCCATTTGCTGTCATTTCTTTTAATCCTCAGCTGGGTTGAAGCTGCCCCCTCTTTTAACTGAACAAGCACAGGGTTGTTTTTTCCCAGTATTTTATTTGAGAACTTTCCAACCTCCCTTTGACTTCTGTCCTTGGGATCCTTGCAAGAATTTCTCTATGCTTGTTGAAAGTAACTCTCCCCAAATCTAGTGGCCATGTGCTCCATTCTTCCTTTCCATAGAATTAGGAAACCCCAGGATGATGTGATGGACCATTTGCAGAGCCCCAACTCTAGCTAGCCGAATTTGAGATGAATGAGAACCACAAGTAAAAAGAACAGAACTGAAAGATATGTTTAAAGCAAGTTCAGCGTAGATTGGGCACGTCTTTGTAATTTGACTTTAATAAGAGGGAGGGAGGGGAAGGAAAGAGTTGGAAGAAGGAAGGAAGGAGGGAGGGAGGAGAAGGGAAGAGAGACTCTGAATGGTCTCCTAAGTGGCATAATTTCAGAGAGGTATAAATTCTTGGCAGCCCCAGGGCCTGGTGATCCTTGGGGTGACATACATGAGCCCTGAGGGAGCAAAGAATGCTGTTTCTTCAATGGCATCGCTGCAGCGTTGATGGCATAAGGACTCCCGAACAAGCCAGTCTGGAATCGGGATCTGCTGCCTGGGCAGAATCAGGCCTGCCCCTCCCCTGCATGGTGCAACAGTGCCACTTTGCTCCCAGTTGCCAGGCCGCTCAAGCCAGCCCTTTTCCTTGCAAGGGCAGAACCCCGGAGGCCTGGCGCTGCGGGTGACCTCACAAGCAGGCCTTCTAGAACACCTGGGCTGGCAGAAGCGGCAGACCATCGCCGTGGGGGGCACCCTCCTGCTGCCTGGGGGCAGGGAGAGGGGCGCCCTTTTGGGGACCAGCCTGCTCTCCAGAAGACGAGGAACTCGGGAACTCGTCACAGTCCATCCTCCTCCCTGACCCAAGTTGAAAGATGCCACATAGTGAACAGGAGACAGTTGCATGACCCTGCAAAGGGGGAGGTGCAACTAAGCAGGTTCCAGGTGTGTCTGTGTGCGAGTGTGTTTGCACAGCAGCTATAGACGCCTGGCACGTTGAACCTGCTGCTTCAATCCAAGCTGCGGCCGCAGCTGCTATATAACTCAGAGAGCAGAAAGTGGGGTGGGGAGAGAAACAGGCTCAGGGGTGGGATCATTCCTCTGTCATGACTGGCGGGGGGAGAATAATTTTCACCCGGGGCAGAATTTGTCCCCTGTAACTGGGTCTGAGGATCCCGGAGCCAGGTGCATTGCTCCAGGGTCTCCATTCTGATTCAGAAGATTGGGATGGTCCTAGAGTGGAACAGAAGCATTTCCCACCCATTGGGCCGGGGCAGAAATAAAACGGTGGTTCTCCCGTTAGCCGTCCTGTATGCAGATCTCCGGAAACCATGGCTTGGCTGCAGCTCCCTGTAGGTCGCGGGGAGGCCTGTGTCGATTGCCTTCCCTTCTGCTCCCAGGGTCCCGGTTGGGGCCCGTGTCCCTCTCCCTCATGGCCAGAAAGTCAGCGGTGGCACAGGGGAACCACCCCGGCATTTGCGGTTCAGCGCCCGCCTGCCTGCCTGCCCGGTGAATCCTGCCTCTCCTGTCCACCATTCCCCAGGGAAATCGAGGGCCTCCGTGAGCTTGAAAAGTGCCAGGGACTGGGTCGGGTGGCCCCTGTGGGGCTGGCTCCCTGCCACCCCCAAAGCAGCCTGCTCACAGGGGGATGTCCCAGGACGCTGTCCCAGCCCTGGGGTCGAATCAGCAGGTGGTGGTTTGTGCATGGACCTGGCGAGGCTGCAGGCTGACCACTTGCCTCGGTAGCCAGCGATCCGGACGGTCCCTTATCCAGCCGTCCTTCCTCTTTTTGAGACGGGATCCTTAAGAGTGGGGCCTCCTCACTGGGGGAAGATTAAGTGGGAACTTGCAAATGCGGGCACAGGCGCTGTCCCGAATAGCCCCGGGGATGCGGGGGGAAACCTCGGACTTCCTTCGCACCTGGGGGACAGTCGGTCTGACCTTTCCTGTTGCTCTTCCTGCAGCGCCAAGAACCAGCCCAGGCAGCCTGCGGAGGAGGCGGAGGAGGCGGAAGCCGAGATGTCACGAGCCAAAGGTAGTCAAAACAGCTGAAGGGAGGCACTAGGAAGCCCAGGGCTTACCTGTCAGGGATGGTTTAGCACAGCGCCACTCCATCTCTGCGACTTTGAGATGTATGGACTTCAACTCCCAGAATTCAACTCCCAGCATGGCTGGCTGGGGAATTCTGGGAGTTGAAGTCCAAAGTTGCTGAGATTGAGAAACACTGGATTTGAGCATGGAGGAAGGGGTGGACCAGAGGGCCTCCGAATCCTTTCAGACCTCTGCCTCCCAGGCCACCGGATCCTTGCAGTTACTAGAGGGATATGAAACGCCCAGCCTCCAGCAGATATTGCCCCGCTCGGCCTCTTAGATCCCCCCCAAAGTTCCTGTGGCTCCACCCCAAGCTTGACCCCTTCCTCTTTGAAATGGGCCTGTTTGCAGCTCCCTTTTCCGGTCGTCCGGCTGTCCGCCGGCCCCTGGGGGAGGGCGTATCCCATAAAACAGCCCCCATCCCTTGGCTGGGAAGCAGCCCCTTTGCGAGAACTGGATTCCTTCAGCAGCTCCTGAGCGCCTCTTGGCCGTGGGAAGAGTGTTTTCTGGCTTCCAAAGCAAGATGGGGTGGGGGAGCAGTTCAAATCTAGTTTAATTCTACGGTACATGCAAGCTGGCTACTTCTGTGGCGAGCGGGAGAGGAAAGAACTCTGCGTGTGCTCAGAGGCCCTTTTTAGATGCAAGTTCCGGAGTCTGATTTTTCACATCTTTGAGAATGAATGGGACGTAACCCTTGGAAAGAAAGGAGGAAAGCTGTAAGGCTGGGATCGAGTCCCCCTACTTAATTTGGTAGACTGAGGGTCCCCAACACCACTGCCAGCTGGGGGCTACTGGAATCCCTGCCAAGCTGCTGCCAGTCACGCCAAGACTAGTTTAGCCCTGACCTGGAACAAAGCTGCATTCTGGGTTGCTGTTTCGATTGCTCCTTCCCTCAGAGCCATGAGGACTGGAGCCTTGTGGCGTTCTTAGGGGAAGGGCCGTTGCTCAGCGCAGCAGGTGGCTTTCCAGCCATGAGGTCCCATCCAGACTCCGTCCCCAGGAAGGGAGCAGGAGGTGGGAGACTCCTGGCCTCAAGGGCCGCCCTGGAGTCCGGCAGGATCTGGCTGGGAAGGAAGTTTGGGGCCCAACTTTAGCGCTGGGGGGCCCCTTGGAAAAACAGCCGCATTCTCTCCGACCCAGCCTGGCCGTTGGAAGTTCCCTCTTCCGACCATTGGCGAGCAGGGCAGTTTCTGCCTCTCCCTCCCCAGGGGGATTCAGTACGGGGCCGGTGTGGACCACCAAGCGCGACGGGGAAGTCAGGCTGCGGGTGGACGAGAGCGGCATCGGCTCTGAGCTGCCCATCACTGTCCACGAGCTCTTCCTGGCCTCCGTGAACAAGTACGGCGACTTCCCGGCGCTGGCTTCAAAGAAGCAGGGACAGTGGACCACGCTGACCTACCGGCAGTACTACGAGCAGTGCCGCAAGGCGGCCAAAAGCTTCCTCAAGGTCCGGGGGGGGTGATGGGGAGGGAGGGGGAAGGAGCTCACCTTGCCACTTTCGGCTCACCACGGCCCTGCGTGGTCGGGCAGGTGGAGAGGCCCCGAGGCTGGCACCGGGGAATCCAGGGGCGACGGGTCTGGCCAGACGGCCGCTGCTTTGGGGCCACAGGCAGTTGGCACTCTGAGGTGGGGCAGCGAGTGGGAGCGTTGGGCAGGGGGCTCGCTCATGTCTCTGCTCTCCTCCGGCAGCTGGGCCTGGCACGTTTCCACAGCGTTGGCATCCTGGGCTTCAACTCGCTGGAGTGGTTCCTTGCCGACGTTGGAGCCATTTTTGCAGGGTAAGGGAAAGACCCCCCCCCGGCCTCCTGGGGAATCGCTTAGGAAAGAAATGGGGGGGTGCGTCCCCGATGTATGCAGGTTCATTACTTGCCCAATGCAGAGGGTGCGAGCGCTGCAGCTCCCTCCCTCCCTCCCTCTCTTCTCCTTTGCACTTAGGGTCAGAGCAAAGGGGGTCTCTGGAATTGCAGCTGTGGGGACCCCTGGGCTCAGCCCCAGTGTTAGAAGGGGAGCCCACTCCTCGGGGTTCCCCGTTCTTGGAGTTTTCGCTGCTAAATTGAAGAGGCTGTCTGGGGTCAGTGTGGTCACCCAAGTTAGAGCGCTGTTTCTCAACCTTGGCAACTTTAAGACGTCGGGACTTCAACTCCCAGAATTCCCCAGCCAGCCATGATCTGGGAGTTGAAGTCCCGATGTCTTAAAGTTGCCAAGGTTGAGAAACACTGTATTAGAATTAAAAATCGTTTGCCAATTGAACGAATCATCCACAGATCTCCTGGTAGATCGTGGTTTCTCCTGGGCCACTTTCTGGGTTGAAATTCTGTCTGAAGTCTGTGTGGGAGAAGGGTTGGGATGAAGTCTGTGTTCACACCACGCTCTACGCTGGGACCCCGGGGCCCGCCTTGGCCTGCAGGGGGAATCAGGCCCTCCTCTTCGTCTTCCGTAGGGTGGCGGGAGGTGCCAACCCGGCAGCGAGCTCAGGGCTTCTGGGACTGCAGGCAAAGTGCAGGGAGGAGTGGCTTTGAGGGTCTTCCAGCATGAGGAGCAGACCCCCGGGGCTCTGCAGCTCCTCGCTTCTTTCTCTGCGGCTCCTTGGGGAAGGATCCTGGCAGCCCCGCTTGCAATCGAAGCATTTTATCAAAAGACAGGTGCTTTTGCGAGCCGCCTTTGTGAGTCAGAAAAGGTGCTCCCAGACTCCTGGTTTTTTGCCAGCAACCCCCCACGCCCCTTCTCAGAAAGTTCCCCTTTTCTGCCAGATGGTGCTGCCCCGAGTCTTGTGGGTGGGGGCTCCGTTTCCGGATGTGGCTCTTTGGAACAGGAAGCAGCTTGTGGCGGCATTCCAGGGGCCTGGCACAAAACCATTTCCTGTGCCAGAAGACCCCCTTCCCAAGGCGGAGATGGTGCCCCAGGTGCTCGGGTGGCCCGTTCCGGGGCAAAGGAGCAGGGCCAGGCTGTTTAGGGGCACTTAGGAGGGCGGTGGGAAGCTGCCCGAGGGGGGCTTCCAGTGCCATTCCGTAGGATGCAGGGGTCGCCTTGGTGCTTCTGGCGTAAAACCTTCAGCAGTGACTCCCCTTGCCCTGCTGGCGGCTTGGTCGGGGGAGCCAAGTCTCCACGGGGTGTGTGGAAAGTGATGCTGGGCAAGAGAGAGCAACCCCCACCCCAGAAATGCAGTGACCCTTCCCAGAGGCCCTCAGGAAGGAGACGGTGGGTGGATCTCACGTCTCATCTGTGTTTTTTGAATGGGAGAAAGGTGGGCTTTCAAGGGCACGGCTTCTTTGCAGGGGGTTTGCGGTTGGCATCTATACTACCAACTCCCCCGAGGCCTGCCACTACGTCGCGGAGAACTGTGGGGCCAACATCATTGTGGTGGAGAATGACAAGCAGCTCCAGAAGATCCTGGAGGTGAGTTATAGATCCCTGGGGCTGAAAGGAGCCTGGGGGGTCCTCTAGTCCAGCCCCTGCCCAGGGCAGGCATCCTCTGACCATCGCAGACAAAGGGCTGCCTGGCCTTTCCTTGAGACCCTCCAGGGACGGAGCGCCCGTGATGCCAGGCGGGAGGCTGGTCCAC